TAGCCAAGATAACTTGTACCCATTTAAGTTAGTAAAATACTCCATTTGGCTTCTTAATTAATGAAGAAGCTATTAAGAAGCCATATGTTCTCATCTGCCATTTAGTTTTCCTGTAACTCAAGTATTTGGCTGTTCAGCACAGAAGATAACAATACGGATGGGTTCTTTATTTCTACATTTACAAGGACAGCAGCAGGAAGCAGCACACGATGACACTTCTGGAATATGCTGGGCAACAGCATGAGAGAAGATAAGAAACAGGTGTAAACCTCATGAAAGCAGAGGTTCAAAGCACTAACATCTGCTCGACAGTCACACATCTGGGCATCAGAGCTTCAGAACTAACTCCACCTCACCCCAGCTGTCCCACTACCCACAGAGAGCACCACACCACAAGACGACTGTACCTTGCAGGGCCGAGCTGGCACCCTTGGCAGCTTATCTCCATTGGCCTGTTTGTGACTTCTGACTCTTCTTCCTCCTTTCACCCAAGCAACTCATCCAACTCCTCCAGCAAGCATCCTTACTCCAAGGTAACCCTGTGAACGGCTTGTCCTTTGGGATGAAACCTTGTGTTCTTGACTCAAATAATTCCAGACTAAATTTTGCCTTGAGACCCTGTGCGTGTGTCCTCCAGCAGTCAGCATCAAGCCTTGCTCCAAGTCAGGCAAACTGTTACGCCATGGAAGGTCCAGGGCAAGTTCACTCCTCTGGAAGGTGCTTGGAGGCCGCAGGTGGCTCCAGCCCCCACCCGGTGGCCATCCACACTCAGGTGCAGCGAGAACCTGAGCCATGCAGTCTGCCCAGCCATCTGCTTCCAAAGAAATGACTACCAAGGTTTGAACCTCGAGCACAGCACACTATACAGAAGACAAGCAAGAAGATCTCCAAGAACTGGATGGGGCCAAAGCGTTTGAGAGCTCAGAGCAGGCCAGAAAAACGGGGCTACGTGTCACAAGAGGAAACAGGGAAGAAATGCTGCACCGGTACGACTGCAGTGCTTGAGACCTCCAGTCTGCGATGGGGAACGAGAGATTAGCCAGCCCTGGGAGCACGTCCTTCACCCAGCAGCTGCCGTTCATCGCCGTGGATACACGCAGCCACACGAAAACACTGCCGTACAACCAAGAAGCGCTCCGCTAGCAATACGAGGCCAGTCCGAGCAGCAGCGTCAGACACCGCCGTTCCTCACGTCCTGCACTTCCCGGGCCCGGCTGCAGGAGGACGGAGGAGCGCTCACCGTTCCTCCCCTCTACCTCACAGCGTCCGTCCGCGCCCGTCAGCTCCACCATCCCGAGGGATGACGGCGTCCTACCGGATCCCCTCGGACCGGCCCAACCCGGGGCCGGCAACCCCAGCCGCGGCCCAGCCGGAGCTCCCCGCGATCCCCCCCGCGGCGCCCGGCCCGCTCCGCGCACGCAGCCCCCGGCTGTCACCGCGCCGCCGGGCCGGGCCGGGCGCTCTCCCCTGGACGCTTCCGGAGCGGGTGAAGCGGAGAGGCCCGGCCGCTTCCCTCCCGCCGCTCCGAGCGGCACGGAGAAGGCCCGGTGCGGCCGGCGGGGCCGAGCGCCGCTCCCACTTCCCCCTCACCTTCTTCAGGGCGGGCACGAGCAGCCCCCGCCACTTGGGCGCGTTCTCCTCGCTGAAGAACTCGTAGAGCAGCGGCTGCGCCTGCATGGTGCCGCCGGGCCCGGCCCGCTCGGGGCGGCGGGCAGGGCAGGGCGGGCCGGGCTCGGCGTGGAGGAA